TCGGGCCGAATTAGCTGGGGCACATCGAGCCACTGCTCAGCCGCGTTCATGGCCTCCTGCGCATTGCGCAGCTTCTGTTTCGGCTCCCAGTCACGCCAGTCCGGACAGAGACCGGGCGCACAGGAGTCCACCAGGGCACCAATGGCAGTGCCGTCGTTCCAGTCCGTGGTGAAGTTCTTTACTGGACGATCAGCCAACTTGGAGTTCAGCCAGGCAAGGAGACGCTGCTTGGGCGTGGGACCCTGTCCACCCTGAGGAGGAGAAGAAAGTAGTTTGCAGGTGGACAGCTGCCTCAAATCCACAAGTTTCGTATTTAGTTCCAATCAACTCCCCTACCCTTCCTCCTCTTCCTTTTCACCTCTCTCTTCCCCTCCTCATTCGTATCGTATTTGCGTTGTTTTAGACAACGACCAAAATGGCAGCCGTAGCCGCCACTATTACAGCCGCAAGTTCGACCACTACCAGCATTACAGACACACAATGCCATCTGATGTGCGTGACAATATAAACCTTTGCCTTTCTATGCATATCTCATTTTTTTAAACCTGGGATTGAGCATAGCTTGTTGATGACGTCTCTTAAGGCGGAAATTGTCATTCCAGTCTTCCCCCTCTTATCGTCGATAGTGGTAGTCTGCCTATACGTGACACCCTTCATACAAAAGTAGTTCAACCATCATAACGCCGAGGAAGATGTGTAAGTTGCTTCCACGCTAATCACCCTAATAATTAAAGTCCGTGCTGAAACGAGTGAGATTGGTCGTGGGAGCGCAACCCAAATAAGGCTCGCCGTGCCCTGATCTAGCCCCCACGTTGGTTCAGCGCACCTACCAGGCAGAGAGCAGATGCCAAAAAGTACATGGGGCAATTGGGATCCAAGGCCCTTGTTAGTGCGTTGTGCAGCGGCTTAACTTCGACTGTCAGAAGAGCAGAATTGCAGCTTAAGTAGAAGTCTAATTCATGCTAAGAACTACCGCAGTATTTTCCTGTTGAAGACATGAGTAACTATGTAACTCGAAATTTCCTATAGTGTATCGACTTCTATGTTAAAATCCAAAAATGCGTTGGGCTAATTGATATAAACTAATTTTGAATTCGAAATCATAAAAAACGAACTTTTGTGTTTGGTGCCCTCACCTGGTTGTCTTCTTCTCCCTCCCAGAGCGGCAAGGTGATGGAGTAGTGCAGAATGAGCGTCCAAATCAGACCTAGAATGAGCTTCAGTCGGCAGTCCACAATGTCTGTACTGTCTGTAATGTGGCAAAAAAGAACACAGTACACGCGAGTAATAAATTGAGCAGCCAGGCCCACCTGGTCGGCAAATGAAGTTGTTATCAAAAAAATCATCGATCTGTCTGATTAAATTCTTCCGATATCACAAATGAGATTTATAGCAAAAACACAACCCTATAAGCAGAAACCGTGAGCCTTTTTTTAATTTCCGAGGACAGTAACGCGCGAACTTGTGAATAAATCCTTTGGCACAAAATTTCTCGAGTTCGGTGCGAAAGCTGATATTAATATCTCAGATACTACCGAGTTACTGCTTCACATTCACAAGTTGCTAACAGGCAGTCAGACGTATGCTACTATGTAATTATACAGAACACTGACAGCACAGGCACTCGATGAAGTTCGGACACTCGTGTTTCGCCGATCTTGTGCAGCTGCATGAGGCCGCTGTGAGGGGTTCGGCTCATCATTGGA